GCAGCGACGTTCTCGAAGGCTTAAAAGGCATAACTCTCGATACCCTTGCTTACCCGTTCATGCTCGAGTAAAGGCGCTTTGCGCGCTCCGGTCTGCACGGCTTCTTTCAGACCGTCGGCCAGTAAATTCACTCTGTGCGAAGTCCGACATTGTTGCGTGTAATTGTTTTCGTCCGTAACTATTTGCACATTCGGTTACAACGGAGCTTTACTGTCAATCACTACGTGGACCAACGTAAACAGGGGAACAAAGCACACGAAATACAATTTAAACTGACGAGTATTAGCATTTTACTAATTGTCAGTACGTCGTACCGAAGAATATATAGAATCGGCGAATTCAAATTAGGATTCCGGCATAGAGAAAATAACTGTAATAATAGATTACGTAAATAGACATGTTTTAATAATTGATTTAATTTATTGTTGTTTCGTTCAAATACGCGAGAGAGAAAAATTTGTCGAGAGGCGAAGAAAAACGGTTACGTTTGTGTAAGTTAGTAGGGGCGCATTGAAAGACTGAAGAGGATGGTTTCGAATAGTATCTCCAGCGAATGGCTTAACCAGTTTACAAGTACGTCGGCCATTGAGCCTAGGGAAGTATCGCAAAATTACAAAGTCGAAGCTCGCGAGGCTACGTAGACCAACTCCGGTGCGCGTGCCTCAAAATTGGGATTTCTTTTCAGAAGTTATGCTCTTCAACCGTCAGTCATTGTGTCTACCGAAAAGAGGAGAAGAAAAAAAGCCAGGAGAAGAAAGGGGGAGGGGGAAAGAGAGAGGAAAGGATGGAAAAAACGCGAGGCAGCCTGTGTAACTGTATAAGGGAGCACGAGGGAGGAAAAAGAGGAGAATCAGTTCGTCGTGGTCGTCGTCGTCGACGTCGTCGCAAAGTGCGCGCGTTTTAAAGATCGACGGAAAGTGGGTCAGACGAAGCCGAATGACTTGGCACGTTTTCTCTCGTTTCCGCGGTAGACGATTCTCTCCGCTTTCACGGCAAAAACACGACCATTCGCGACCGCACGAGTATCCGCGGCGCGGCGTTTTCAATTCCTGTTAGCTGCCGCAGCACGCGGCCCTTACGACCACGGAAGACCGGTTTCATGGAGAATCCCGTCCGAGGGAAGAGAGGACGCGTCGCACCCACCGCCGGTTAACGACATCACCATTATCCGCCGCGAGCGGTGCTCCAAGATCAGAGACCCTCTGATCTTCGACACCCACGCGCTTCTGGACTCTTGCTTTGTCGCGTCCATCGCTAGACCGAGCTGAACCTCCGCGAATGCGTTCCGCGAGTAATCCCGTTCCACTCGAGCATTCAATTGCTCGCAACGTTTATTCTTTAATTACTCTTTCCTCTCTCAAAAGAATAAATTCCCCGCATTGAATATTATCAGTGCGTTTACGTGTTTGTATTCCACGATTCCGAGCACTCGGAGATAGAAGATTTTGCTTCGGCATAAAAAAAAAAAAGATCGTGGGAAGACATTTAAAATTGTGACCTCGAATGCCCGAAAGGGAATGAGTAGCGGAAAGCGGGGAGCGACACAGAGCGATGGACGTCCGTTTAGCCCGAAGCTTCGTGCCGCTCGAAGAAACGTTGTTTCGTATTCCTTGTGCACGTGAAACCCATTTTAGACTCGTTTCAATCATGAAATCGGGGACGTGTTCGAGCATGGAACGCTGAAATGCTGACCCGTGCGCCCTTATGGATCTTTGACCGGTATGCTTGCGAAGCGGGTCTCGTTCAGATGGAAAAAGAAGAAAACGTCAATGAATGTGATGGTGAGAAAATACTGTTCCAGCTCGAGTTCTGTCCGGGTGGTCGAAATTGGAGAATGAGATACGGGAGCGGGATCCGAAAGGACAGGAGCAGGATCGCAAAAAGGAGGGAAGATATGGAAGGGGCGTGGAAGGCGAAGGACAAGTCGGAAAAGGGTTGTTCCTCTGCTCTGAGAAAAAGAGAGCTGATACGTGTCGGGTGGTCCAGGAGCGAGGCTGACGTGCAACGAAGGAGAAGCGGGAGTTAGCAGGCGGTGGTGGTAACGACAGCGGTGCGAGAGGGTGGCAGCGTAGGAGGATTTGGAGCTCTGCCACGTCGGGAGCACCCTCTTGCTCGAGTGCTCTACTGCGATCACCGATACCACACTACAGAACGTCCGCGGTTGGTACTCGTAGGGGTTTGGAGGAGGCTACAGAGAGGCACGGCCCTCGAAGAGAAAACAGGTGGAACGACCAGAGCCGTGAGCTCGCTGGGGAGGAGAGCGTAAATATTGATAATCCCTTCGACTATACCTAACTACCCTCTTCCGCCCTCTTCCTGGATTAGATTGCAGTCGCCGACGCGGCTCGTCGGACCGAAATCGTTGCGAACGCCTCCGAAGTCCGCCTCCCTCGCTAAAGTTAATATCGCCGTCGATTGAACGAGGATTTTGTTGATGCGATTTTCTGTAAACACTCGATACACAGAGGATATACAGGATGGCAATAGGATTCCGACGTAATTGGATGAGCGGCTGTACGTTGGCCAAAGATACGGCTTTCCATTCCGGGATTTAGTTCCGCTGTTCCCTCGAAAATACTTCCTGATTTGTCCTTCCCCTCTTTTTCCCCAATTCCTCTCAGCCCTAAACAAATCGCTCCTACCGATGATATACTAATAATGGTCGGATTCACTCGTATATAAAATTACTTGCAACGTCAGGCAAGATTTACTGTCCGGGAGCTGGCCGCCTCGCGTCCGAGTAAACAAATAAATAATTCCTTATCGAACTAAAAATTCCCAGCGTCAGTTATTTGACATGAAAATTAATTGAACTTTGTTACCAAAGAGCATTCAAGTCATTAATCACATTCTTTTATCTGCCTCTATCCCCCGGACATATTTCAGGATTATAATCCAGATCCTGGCAACAATTTATGAACAATACCTTTCGGCAAGAAATTACGCGAAAGAAACGACCTCACTAAAAATTTCACGCCACCCCCGCCCGGTGACGGTGCAGTTCGTCAGAAATCTGTTATTGTAATCGATTAAGCTGTCACTGAGAGCTGCGGCGGGTGATAAGTAAACGTATTAAACATTGTCAGAAAATAGCGCTCGATATCCAGCCGCTCGGTTTGCAGGAACGGTCGCAGATTACACACATGTGACGCAGAGGAGCGGAGCGGATCGCGCGTTAATGCAAGAAGGGATGATCCGGTACAACTAATTTCAGTTTCGCCATTGTTCTCGCTGCTGCCGTTACTCTTAAGACACTGTCTGTGAACCGACTAAACCTTCCTACGTTGCCCGCGCGCGCACACACACACGCACGCAGCTAACGATTGCGTATTTATTAACCAAATGTACATTCCGTTCGGTAGTTAAACGTTACAAAGCCAGTCTTATGCCGCATTTACGTTCCCAGGACCGTTGATCGTGTTGCAAACCCCATTGTTATCCCCGTTTTAGTGTGCTCGTTCTACTTGGAGTTCCGTAATCTCATATTGCGAGTTACAGAGTAAGATACTTTTCATAATACATACCATTGGCTATATAACCAATGCTGCGCGTGTAAAAGTTTTCATTACGAAGTGGATCGTTTGCGTTTTAATATTTTTAAAGGGAGGTAGGAATTGCGATGCACATACCTCGCGTGGTAAAAAAAAAGGGAAACCCGGTGTCCATTAATTACAGGAGAACAGATGCGGCGATCGACAGGGTAATTGTCGTTTGACAAATGAACTTTTTAACGTAATAGACGAACGCGGCCGCGGCTCGTCCATTAAAGCGCGAGACGACGACGAGGCGCGACGCCTCGCGTCGCCGTCGTCTTCGAGTCACGAGGGGTGGCGTCATTGTGATCATTGAAAGAGCTTCTGCGGCCGGCTCGATGTGTCGTACGTCTGGGTATACAACGTGGCCTGAGTGTTTCCGTTCATTTACATACAATCACGAACGTGTGTCCAGACGGCGAAGAAGGCTGTACAACCTCTCGGCTACGTGTAAGTGTATATACTATATTGTTGGCCGTGCCATGTCGAAGATAGATGCCCCGCGTATGCACGGTCTCGCACGTGGACTTGAAATCCGCATGCACGTATTCAGATTCGGGGGCCGGATGATACGAAAATGCGAACATAGTATTGAACGCGAACGCGACGCGGGTAGAGACCGGGCGCGGGGAGGGGGGGAGAAGAAGGGGGATGGGGCGCGTTAACGCGATAGAGATAGGCGTTCGTTTTTCATCCCTGTATGGTGCCCATTATAGCCCGTTTATCGACCAATTTCGCGTGCTCCGATAGGTCTGCATGCACCGGCTCCCCACAGGCGAAACACGTAATCGAGATATAGGATTATGGATCATTAATTAAATCCTTGCGCCTAGCTCGCGCCGTAGAATCAGCTGCGAGGCTATCGATTGCCAGCGTGGTATTCTAGGCACATTAGGCTTCGTCGATTAACTTCGACTCCGCGTGTCCGTCCGAGGTCACGACAAGGTACATACAGTGCGAGAGACAGAGAGAGAGAGCGAGAGAGAGCGAGAGAGAGAGAGAGAGGGGTGGGGGCAGGAATTGTTCCCGAAGAGTTTGCCGAGGAACTCGAGTTACCGAGTTCGTGAGTTCGCTTAATGTGCGCGCGTGACTACTCTGTCTCTTCGCCGTGCGAGTCTACCTGTACATCAACTTCGGCCGATTCGACGTGGAAACGGCGGAAAGTTCAAAGAGACCTTCGCACACACGCGGACGGCAAGTCCGCAAACAGTTTCAGTGGCTATCGATTCACAGATGTGCTTGGCTACGTTTCTAGCGTGTAAATTCCGGGGCCAAACATTGCGCCCGGATTTCTCTATTACGCATCCGTGTCATCGACGCGTACGTTTACTGTTTTTCGTGAACAGTTCGCCTGAGTTATCAGTCTTCCAAACATGAAACGTGCCTAGCGTCCGGCGGGTACTAGAACGTAACGCATCGAGTGATAAGCTAGAAGGGACGAAAGATAAATTGTTCGTGGGTACTTACGCAGCTTGCGCGAACGGAGCACGATGCGTGGCGGGCAGCAACGCGATCGTGGCCGCGAGGAGGGCGAAGCTCCAGGAGGCGGCGTGGAAGGACATCATATTATCCGGGGTACGAAACGGGTTGTCGACGTTCATGGAGAAATCACGTAGCGTGGCCGTTTCACGATCACGACGACGACAACGACAAGGATGTCGGCGAGGACGTCAGCGGGTGTCCTGAGGCGTTGTTACCTGGCGCGTTGACCCGGCGCCTCTCTGCGTGCCGTCCGCGTCTCACCCTCCCCCCTTATACCACCTCCTCCTCCTCCTCCTCCACCACGTCCACCCTCCCTCCAACCTTCCAACCACCCGCCCCGCCCTCCAACCTCCGTCTTGCTCTCACTGTCTGCTTTTATCTCCTCCCGTTTTCCTCGTACTTTTTCCCCTTTACATCCACTTTCTATTACTTCGGGCCAGGTCTGTCCGGTAATGTCAGCTACTACTTGAAATTTCACCCAGATCTGTTTTCGGCTTCACTGACACTCGCGTTCGACGTTCCCCCCGGAAACACTGTGATCGCAGCTGAAAACCGTATCACCTTCACAACGATCTCCTTTTCCTCGCGACCGAGCTTCGAGAGACCGGTATCTCGTCGAGCTCTCTCACGCGGGGAGTGCTCTCTCACCGCTCTGTCACTCGCGATGACGACGAGATCACAACGAGATATTTACTTTTCCCTTTCTATGCACGATCTTCTTTACTCCTCCCTGTCTGGCCTCGATTCGACAGAATACGGCCTCACAGATTAAGTATATACGTTCGATTATTTAACCGTGCCACGAGCGTTCGCTATCTTGCCAGCTCACTGGTCCGATGCGTGCATAGTCCCGGGTCGATTTCCTCGATGTTACCACCGATACGTCTGATATCTCTGACAGATCCACCACGTAAGGCGCTTTGTTCACTGAATCGCGCGAGATTCCGTCACGAGCTTCCGCGAGGCACTGGTTCTCCTCACTCGCTCACGCCTCTCGCTTTTTTCTGCTCGGCGATCGGACGAGACGAGGCGAGCTTCTCATCGCACCGTTTTCAATTCACCTGGATAAGGAGGATCGGGAGAGCGTTACTGGGGAGTAGGGAACGAGCAAGGGATTCGTGTGGAGAAGGGAGATAGCGGCGAGATCCTCTTCGAAGAGAATCCTCTCTTCCGTTCGGTTCGTTCTACAAACACGGATCCGCCTGGCTGTACGAGATGTCCTGCCGTAGGCTCCGCTTCCTAGGGATCCTTCCTTCGACGATGGACATTCTTCACGCTTCTCCGCTCCTCGCTCTCTCGTTCGCTCTCGCACTTTCGCTCGCTCTCGCACTCTCTCTCGCTCTCTTCTCACGGGGACACTCGGTCAGCACCCGCGCTACACCGCTACGCGCTCGGGAGTGGCGGCTCTCGCGTCTAGCCCGGCCGTACCAGCGCGCACGCGCCCTTCCGCTCTCTCTTCTTGCCTGCTTCTATCTGCCTATATATCTACCTATATCTACCCTCTACCTGCCTGCCTGCCCGCCCGCCCGTCTACCTGATTCTCCTGCATGCTTGTCTTACTCTTTCGTCCCTGATTAGCCCTCGCCGTACCTGCCTGCTTCCGAACCGCCAAGGATGCTTTTCCACCCCCGGCTACTACTGCCTATTTCGTTGTAACTTTCTCTCCCGCGATATCGCGTTCCGCCCTCATTGGAACGTAGCCTCCTTTGGTTTCTTTGATTCAGCATTCCAAACTTCGTAACGAACGACACCGGGAACGATCTTCTCTTCTTTTTTTTCTAATTATTTTCCCATTTTTTATCTGTTTGACTCGCTGCTCATTCTTTCGTTTATCGCCGCACGAATGTTTAACCCCGAGGTCCGGATGCGTCCCCTCGTTTTCGTTTTGTACTACTGATTCGATTCTCTCTCGTTCGCTTGGTTTTCAAACATCCCAGCAGGAGAGTTTTTAGTTATATCTTCTCGATGTTTATGTTACTTGGAGATTCTCTTTAAGTTTTACGATTACAGAGATGGTTGTTCTTTTAGGATAAAAAATTTACTCATCCACACAAGCTACGCTCGTCCATTCCTTCGTTCCACGGTTTATAAATTACTCATCCTTTTGTTCGTGACGTATTGAACGTTTTCAATGCGTCTGTTGACTTTCGCTTGCTTTCTTCGTCGACTTTTATATGTTCTGTTAAGAATGTGTTGGCTATACAGTCAATCCCATAAGTTTATGTAACCTTAGAAAACCGCATTTCCTATAATTAAAAATAGTGCATTCTTCTTCTAA